ACTGCTCATCTAAGCACTTTGACTCATCAAATTCTCTCAATGTGTAAGCCTAAATATAGTCATGTGTGATCTTGTTTGATTTGTCTTAACATATAGATTATTAATATATAATTTCTATAATTTTTTAATATACAAATTACAAGATAAAATGGATTAAAGAAGTGTATTGGATGGTGTGTAAAAATGAAAGTGGACAAATACTCTGGGACGGAGGTAGTATTTGTTAACGAATACAAATTTGTGGCACTATTTCAATTGAGGTATCTACAGTATTTCTAATCGTAAAATTGATTGTTCCAATCGCTTTAAACCCACGGCCCCTACCTGGCCCATCCCTAATGCACTCACGGACCCCCCCCCCCAATTGCACCAACCAAACTTTGAGTCATAAAATTGACCATAAAACCAACAAAAAGTTGATGTGTGCAATTGATAGGGTGCAGCAATACATGCAAGAGGATTTATTATGATTATGAATAGGAACAATCAATTTTACGATAGAATCTCGCAGATACTCTTATTGAAATAATACTCAGTATCATGAAATTACACTAATTAAGGATGACCTAACGTTATACGGAGTAATTCCTAGTATTTACTGCGTATAATAATGGTTAGTATTGGATAAATACGGAGTACCATTTACTTAAAAACCTACCTGCAGGTCAAATATTTGCCCTCTTTCTCCCCCTTTCACGAATGTCAGCTTCCCCACCCCTCCTCCTCCTCCTTTCGCTACCGGGGCGTTATTCCCCGCCGGAGAGATCGCAATTTCCGGAGATGACGCGCCGCCGCCGACGGAGAGATTCTCGGAATAGGGGGAGAAGGAGGAGCTGATTGCCGCGGCTCTGCCGCCGCGGCCCAAGGTGGGCTCTTCCTCGTTGCGGCGGTTGCGGAGGACGTTGATGATGAGCAGGATGATGACGGCTAGGGCGAGCAGACATATTGCGATCAGCATTAACAGCCGGCTCAACGAGGAAGACGATGAGGGAGGTGTGGGCCGGGTCGGGTATTCATCTGAATTTGGGCCTGCTGATTGAGGAGTCGGGGCAGGTGGGCTTTCCGGGTTGCATGCCTTTTCCAGTGGCTTCCCGCATAAATCCTTGTTCCCTACAAAGACGAAAATTAGTTCGAATTTTTAATCAAATTTGAAAAAACTTTGGTCATAAATTGCATTAAAAATAATACCGAAGATTTAATAATGTGAAATTTACACTAAATACTACGGAGTACTAAAATTGAATAAGTTTTTTATTAAAAAAGAAGCTTGAAAGTAGTTTAATGGTGTAACTATTTCATACCAGCAAAAGTAGAGGAATCCATAACGGATAAGCTCCGGGGGATCCGGCCCTCCAGCTTATTGTTAGAAACGTTGAGTAACTTGAGCCCCGGCGGAAACTCCGGTATGGTTCCGGTGAACCCATTGTTGTCCAGCTTCAATTCCAAGAGCCTGGGGGTGGTCGCCAGAGAGACGGGAATGCGTCCGGCGAAATTATTGTTCGACAGGTACACTTTCTTCAAAGATGTCATGCTGGCGAAGGCGTTGCCGGGGATCTCGCCGGAGAACCGGTTGTTGGACAGGAACAGGGATTTCAGGGCGCCGAGCTTTCTCCAGTCCGGCATCAGCCCCTCGAACGCGTTGTTCATGAAGCTGAGCGTCCGGAGGAACCGGAGGGGCGTGAGGGAGTCGACGTCGATGTCGCCGGAGAGGTTGAAATTCTCCAGCTGCAGACCCCAGACGTCGCCGTTGTAGCAGAGCACCCCTCGCCAATTCTCGGCGTTGCCGGAGCAGGGGGCCGTCGCCGGGTCCCACGACGCCAGCTCCCGGGACGCCGTCAGCCCGTTGGGCCCCGCCACCAGGGTGTTCTTGAAATTGATCAGCGCGTCCGCCGAGCTCTCGGCGAGCGAGTCAGGGTCGCTTCCGCCGCCGCCTCCGGCGGCGGCCGCAGGGGGCGACGAAATCAACAAGGAACCAATTAGGACGACGATGAACAGGGAGAAGGGGCATGATGACGGTGATAGGTACGACGGCGGCGGCAACGCCGGGAACTGCCGCCGGAGGCCAGGGTGCACGGCCGCAGGGGCGGCGGCGTGCACGCCCATCATCATCATCAGCAACCGGTGGGACGGAGGAGGGGAGCAGTGGGGGGTGGTGTTTTGAGCCAAGATTTTGACAGCATTTGTTTATACGTTTTTTTACCTCTCTGTTTTTACCCACTTTTTTTTTTCTTTTTTTTTTACCCCCTAAAAGAGGGGTAGTTTTTGGCGAGGGGAGGGACTGGTTTTTTTCCCACTTTCTTTCTCCTCCTCCCTCTCTTCCATTTGTTTTTGTGTCTTCCCATATTTTTAGGAGTTTGATCAATACTCCCTTGAGCTCAATCTATTTTTCCTATTGTTTTTTTACAACTTTTGGTTATAAATTTTTAGTTATAATTTTTTAGTTATAACTTAAATCAATACTTTTGATCATGACTTTTTTCAAAAAAAATATATTTGATCATGACTCATTTGAAAAAAAATATTTTTAGCTATAACTTAAATCAATATCTATCATCTATCCAGTTTATATTACATGTTTAAGATTAATTTTATTCACTTTTATTACTCCGTATAAATTTTAATTACTCATTTGATAAACAATAGTCATTTCACCTATTGTTTTGTAGAAATTTTGATTTATTTTTTTAAAAATGCTCCATACATTCCTTAATAAAAGTTGCAATTTGACTTTAAATAGTTTAACAAAATTGTTGAAAAATAAAGAATACTCCGTTTAGTATGATTTCATAGAGTTTAAAAGTGTTACTCCGTACAAAATAAAAAATGAGTGATATAAATTTAATTAGAAGAAAAAGGGAGATTGTGAATAGTATTTTCTTACATTTTATTAGATAAATAAGAAATAAAACAATTATTTTAAAACAGACTAAAAAAGAAAATAGGGCGATTATTTTGGGATAAGAAAGTATTATGAAAAGAATAAACGTGAATTGTTTGTTTTGAGACAAATGAAAAAAATAGAAATTTTATTTGGATGCAGACTTCGCACCAATCCGTCTAACTCTATGACCCAGTTAGAATAAATCATGTATGAAAATAATCAATAAAAAATAATTAATTATGCTTCCTCCATTTTGAATATTTGTCTACTTTTGATTTTTTGTCAAAATTGATAAACTTTGACCATAAATTAGATAAAAATAATATTAGTAAATTAGTTTTATTTGATCTATTATATCAAATATTTTCAAAATATTAATTTATCTAATTAATATACAATATACGAAGTATATTTTAATTAATTGTAAGTCAAAGATTAAAAATTAATGACCAGATAAAGTCAAAACTGAACAAATACTCAGAGACGACGGTAGTAGTATATAAACCTCAAATAACGATTTTAAAAAATGTGCTTACAATTCTCTGAAGTTTCAGTCAAATGATATAGGGTGCTTCTATTAACTGGACAGCTAATTATGAGTGAGAAAAAGAATACTTGCAGAGTATAACACACTTTCAACCAAACTCATAGGAGTAATAAAAATTCTCATATTTAAAAACTAATGGCATTTGAATTTTGAATATCATATATATATATGTTACAAAAAGGAAAAAAAAACATAAAATATACTCCGTAGCACCTTCAAAAAAGACAAACCAAATACGTGTGTAGGGCGCTATAATTTTTAAAAAAACAATATTCTCTAACAAAACACAGCCACGAAATATATAATCTCCCGGAACAAAATAATGACTCTAATTTTTCATCGTCTTTTCATAAATACTCGTACCAGAGAAGAAAGCAAAACTAACACATTGATCTTAAAAAATGAGTACCTGTAAATCCAAAGCCTATAAGATTGTTGTGTCCTTAAGCCGGGTGCAAAGCTCCTCCACAAGACTAATTCTAGGGACGGTATATTCTTTTGATGCACGGACGTCCTTCAACTTGACATTCCCTTGGGCAAGTTCACGCTCACCAACAATAACCATCCAAGGGACCTTGGACTCTTTGGCAAGATCAAGGTGCTTTGTCAGCCTTTTGTTCACCAGGAACTCTGCGTTCAGTTTGGCATCCCATAGCTCACTCACTAGTTCTGATGCTATAGTCAGGTCATCCCCCAGGACGCTAACAAGCACTTGCGTTTTGTTAGCTCGGATCTGAAAATTTTGATGTAATGTGATAGAATGAATAATAGTTTCCAACGCAACAATGCAACAAAAAGAAAATACTAAAAATGGATATATATATATATATATATATATATTGTGTGTGTGTGGGGCCAATGCAGGTGAGAATGGCCCTTACTGCGAGAAATGAAATGGTGCATTATCGGCACGCTGCGATGCATTTTACACTCGTAGTAGTGCATTTTCGGCATTGGTAGAAAAATTTGATTTATTTACATAATTGCCACCGAGATTTTTTCATTTTTTTCAGATTTTGGATTTTTAATAGCCCTTAGATCTTAAAGTTAATGGATTGTATGCATTCTCATATCTTTCACTATGCATTATATATATAGACACACGCACAGAATAGATTTTGAGTGAAGCAAACTGAATCTGCCCACCCCACACATTTTTTCTCAATTTCCTATTTATTTCCTCCAATGTATTTCCCTAACATTTTCCTAAACGGACACTTGTGGGGTAGGAAAGTTGGGGGAACAAAAGTTTAGCCAGTATATCACCTCCTTGTTTTTATTGAGTTGCTCCATTATTGCGAATACCCTCTCAATTCCCAAGCTAATACCAACTGCAGGAACCTGCTTTTTGCAAAACTTTCCTATGAGATCATCATACCGCCCACCAGCAGCAATTGAACCAACCTGGCACCATTAATGTTTTAAAAAATGATATACCAAATTACTGTGTATAATTTGTTTAAACATATGTAGTAAGTCATTAATCATGTCTTACCTGGACATCCCCTTTGAAAACAGCTTCAAAGATCACTCCCGTATAATAATCAAGACCCCTTGCAAGGCTCAAGTCAAACACTACTTTATTGATGCATTTTGACTTCTCCAGAGCTTTAAACAAAATCTCCAACTCATCTAATGCAAGTGCAGATTCACTGTTCTCCAGAAACTTGCTGCCCTCATGCTTAAGCTTCTGCAGCAGTTCCAAAGGAGATCCCTTTTCTTTGACAAACGTGCCAATTTTGTCTGCCGTCTCTTCACTCAACCCTTTCTCACCCACCTATTTCAGGAAAATGATTAAGGTAACAAATGTTTAGGAAAACAAGAGTGAAAAAGAAATCGTACAATTTATACAGTTATTTGCTTAGATAAACTGATTGGCAAAAACTAATATGATATTCATGGATATATAGTTTTCGAGATATGTGAATGACAAATATTTGCCCTGCAAATTTTTTTGATGTAAATTCTAGGCAAAAAATGAGTTCATGCCAAAAAGAGAAAAGATCTCACCATTTCTTTTTTTATCTGCTCAAAAGATTGTTTGTCTAGCTTGTCGATACTTGAACAAATAGTTCTAAATTTCTCTTGCGGCACCCCACATATGGCTAACATTCCATCAAGTAATCGTCTGTGGTTCAACTTCACCTGGACAACAGAAAAGACAGACATGATTAAATCATTTGACAAAAGAGACTTACTAATATCTAACACAAAGGTTTCTCGCACAAATATGATATCAGTTTACCAAATGATTTATCTTTTATTCAAGTGTTGGATTTGGTCTAACTCAACCCCAAAAAGTTACTCAAGAGGTGGGGAGTTTACCTCTCACTTATACACTCATTACTAGATTCAAACCCACTATAATAGACACTCAATTTTGAATACTCAGCATGATCCCTCAATCGAAACTGGCTCCCAAACAGGCTGCAAAGAGTGATATGCCAATAAGGCAGATGACTTCCTACAAACCAGCATTGGATGACAATTTGATACAATGTCAAATGGAGAATAACTAAACTCAAAGGATCCTAAAGAGGTAGGGTTTATCTAATCTTATCCATATATATGAACCTCCAACAAACTAATGAGGGATACTCCACAAGTAGCAATACAACCTTTTGGTCTAGTACATAGCTACTTATGGAAAACAAAAAATCAGGAAATCACAATGCATACTTATGGTCTTATTTAGCACCAGGTGAAGGACTACCTCATAATCCCCAATGTCAAGCTCATTTAGCAATTCCGTCAAAACTTTGATGACCTCAAAATCAGGACCCATCTTTTCAAACTGCCCAGCTATATCAAAATCACATTGGTAGAACTCACGATACCTTCCTTTGGAAGGATTATCTCTTCTGTATACCTTAGCTATCTGATACCTTTTGAATGATGTAAGACCATTCATTGCCACATATCTAGCAAATGGTACCGTGAGATCATAACGGAGAGAGCAAAGTTCACCACCCTGTAAAAGAGAGAAAAAAAGAAAAAATATAGGGTCCAACTTGTAATTGCTAAAGTTTCTGTGTAGGTCCAACTTTTCTAAAATCTTTTTTGCAGAGTAACAAAGCTTATATTGTCTAACAAAAGTACTATTCTGTTTACCAATCTTTATAATTGGTGTATTCAAGGGTAAGACTATGCCACTAAACAACTTCCATCAATTTCTCTTATTCTCTATCGTGATTATATTTTGAATCTATAGCAAACAAATGGTGTAGCATCATCAACATAATTATCAATACCTTATTCCCAACTAGTTGGGGTCAATGGCATTGAGTTTACCTTCTTAATTCATTGTATAAAATCAATTAACACTAAATCCATGGGAGATTTTTTAAATAAAAAACTCAGAATCAAATACTAATAAAAAATAACCAACTCCAATGCCTCTGGTTTCTGATATACAAATAAGAATAACATGCACACACTATTATGGACTAAGAATTACTCCGTATATTGCATTAACTTTGTGGAGTACGATGTTCTTGGAATTCTTTAAGTCATTAATATATTAATATATTGATATATTAATGAATTGATATAAAAAAAGCTAAAAAATTGACAAGCAGGCCATAAAAACAGTCATGGATAATTTTAGCTCTAAGCCATAAACTGATACCAGACCCTTACAAATAGCTTATCTAAAGGAACAATTATTATACCTGGTCAGCAATATCATAAATCAACTTCGAGTCTTCTCCATATTTACCCATCAGAGTTTCTCTCAGTTCAAAAACAGGGGTGTCCAAAGTCGTAGCACCATGCCTTTCAAAAACATCGACTACTATAGAAAAAGCCTTTTCTCTAATAGCCATTTGTTCCTTTGCAAAGTCACGAGTACCCTGTAATGATTGTTCATAGTTGTGAGCATAAGATCACAGAGACATTCTAAAACTAAAATGCATCCAAAAATCAGAACATAGAATAAAACCCATAAACTAACAGTAAATAAAGATGATTTCAAAAAAAAACATCAAATAAAGACAGCTATCGTTAAAATAAATACTTCGTCTCTCTCGAAGTGTTTGACCACTTCCTTTTTAGCCTGTGAACCAATGATATAATGCTAATAGAAGTTACTAATATGCCCTTACTCTTCACTTATCTTGCCTACCCAAAAATACCCTGCAATTTGCAAGCATAAAATGCGCCAGAAACAATGCGTTCACATGGAGTTCATTGTTGGGTCCCCATACCGATGATTCCTTCAAAACTTAAAAAGAACAAGACCACTGCTCCTGGTTCCTTCTCCAGCCGCGAAGAATGGAAAAATCTTTTTATAGCCACACTTCTGGCACTAGAAAGAGTGGGAATCAATGCATTCCATGTGGAAGACATGTGAGCAGTGTGACCAGATCACATTCTTCTTCATGCCTTTGTTTGATGGTAGTTGTCTAATTGCGCCACCACCCTCCGGGCTGGAATGGGGACTTGGTGGTTTAACTAAGGTTAATTAATGGGTTGGTACTTGGTAGTCGAGTGGGTAGCGTAGTGGGTGAATACTCCAAGTGGGTCTGGTTGGGGGGTACGTAGGCCAATATGACACATTATTTTTTTAAGAACTGAGAGTGGTCAACTGGGTTGTTGTTGTTGTTGAACTGAGAGTGGTCAAAAGCACATTATAGGCTTCTCTTGAATGTTTTATAAGTACTCCGTATAATGTTTAGAGACTACTCTAAGAGAGAACATTCAAACGAGCCCTAGATCATCTAAACAACATTCAAATTCGTAGAGTGAACTAGGGAGCAAGAATGAAAAACCAGTTGGGGTTAAATACCTTCGGAATTTTAGGAAGCCTGCGGCTTTCATTACTTTCAACAATCTCTTTTACTTTATTTTGCAGAATCTCATAACAAATATTGCTGGGGTCCCATAGTAACAGAAATTTGTTTATGTACCCTTCCCAAAGAGTATCATTAGTCTCAGTAGCAACATTCGATATCTGATCCATGAGGAACTGAACTAAAGCAGCAGTTCCCTTGCCTAACAAGATCTTATTCTTCTTGACCTTTTTCCCATTACTATCCTCTAATGGGACACTGCCTTGGGTCTCTTGAATTAGATCACTTCCCTTTAGCCTGAAAAATGCAACCATTGCCTCCCAAGACACAATATCCTCCACCATCTTCAACAGACAAATAACGCCATGAGCAAATGAAATATAATTTCGGCTGGTGAAACCAGAGAGCAAAGAGTCAAAACGTTCATGTAGTTCAACGACTGAAGGAGACTTTGATTGGAAAATCCTTTGCAATTCCTCAGAAGCCATTCCAGACTCCAAAGCAAGTTGGCCACGCTGGAAACTAATCTCTCCCAAACGCAAAAGGACCACTGAGTGATCAAACAAGATGGTTGACAAGACCTTGCAAGCCCCAGAGGAGCTTGCTCTGAAGGCAGAATTGAGCTGAGCCCTTGTCCTGGAGTGAAGGAGGCGACCAATCTCCTTGAAGTGGCCGTGTACCTCAGGAATATCATAAATTGAAGGGTCAAGGAGACCTTTTCCAACATTTTTAGAGCCGTTGAGGAAGACCCTCAAAGAGGCAGCCACAGAAGCATCATCCTTGGCAGTGGAACCATCCCCAGAATCGATCAAATCGAAAGAAGATACATCTGCACACAATGCCTCACATGACAGAGCAGCAACTGCATCGGAAATCAATGACAGAGCGGAAGACCGGTGGTCAACTATGGCTGAAACGGCAACCAGAACTGATAGCGGAACATCGAGAGTTGGGTGAAGCGCATTGGCAATACCATCTATAGCAACATCAGAATCACTATTTTCTCCATTCACAATCTCGGCGAGCTTGCCAGAAGCCGAGACAGGTATAGATGACGTGAGCAACAGCTTGTTCAGCAGTACCAGAGTCGAAGCCCGGACGTCACCGGCGGACAACACGTCACGAGGAATACGGTATTCGTATGTGGCAGCGGCAGGTGGCGGAGTGTTGCTGCTAGCAGCCGCGGACGTAACAGAAGCATCTACACTTACACGAGCAATCCCGATCGCGACCTCAAAGACGGAGGATGAGGACAGTGGCGAAAGTTTTCCGGCCAATGTTACCACGCGTTTCTCCATGGCCTAGGGTTTCTATGTCGCCGCGCTCCCTCCGGTACGACGCTGTTTCTTCACGCCGCACAGGGACGCGGCTGAGGACTGGAACGAGACAATGAACAATGGTGGAGGCTTGTTGCGGTTGAAACCGGCGTTTTGCAGTACGGTGGCGGGGCTAAAACTCTGCTGAAACCTAAATAGAAACCCGGCCCGAACACCTCTGGTTCGGTTGGATGGAAATGACAGAGGTCAGGTCCGGTCCTTCGAGTTTGATTCCGTTGAATTAGAGTGTTTTCATACCCCCTCCGTCTCAAATTATTTGTCACATTTCTATTACCGATGCAAAATATCAAGTTTTTTCAATTCATTTTATTTACATATTGGTAAAGAAATAAAAAATAAAAATTACATATCAAAAAACTACATGAAAAGTTCTTCGAAATAAGAGGTGTCAAGAATATTTTATTTTATCAAATAACCAATGAAAATGTAGAAATAAACAAAAGTTCCCGCGACTATTGAAATAGTAAATGTGGCAAATAATTTGGGACGGAGGGAGTATTAAGCTTAGGTCAACCATTTTTTTTGTGAACCATCAAAATGTTAGTGTATATCTATGACATAACTTTGGAGTATATTTTTGGTGTAAGTGTAGCATGGTTGTTTCAATTAAGTTAATACTCCCTCCCTCCCCAGACTCGAATTGGATTAGAATTTTTTTTCATTAAATATTTAATAAAATAAAATATTCTTATCACCTTTTCTTTTATAGAACTTTTGACGTAGTTTTTTAATATATAATTTTTTATTTCTTATTGGTGTACCAATTCTTAAATTAAATGATTTAAAAGACGAGAGATTTTGCATCGTAACTCTCAATTTGTAATCTAATTAGATACGGAGTGAGTATCATCCAACGATTTACGAGTATTTGTTTTTAAAATATTCTCGTCAAAGATCTTGTGGTCAAAAGAGGTCACATGCTCAAATTTCAGAGTGGCGTTGGCTCATGTTAAAAAAATACTGTATGTATAAACAAATCTTAGTCTTAACCTATATAAAGGTGTGAGGCTGTTTTGAACAGTATTCCCGCCAAAAATGAATGGATCAGGTCACTGCAAAATGGGCTGGTGTTATTTGGGCTGCTTCGAGTGGGCCGATTATGGGTATTTTCTAAGGCCAATTACAAAAGTTGTTCTCTTTATGTTCAATCAGCATTTATTGAAGGAATTTTTCAAAAATCTTTTTTGATTTTTTAGAGACCCATGCGTCATTCACATTAATGAGGCGTGTTGGAGAAGGCCACACACAGCATACTTTTATTTACATAGGCACGATTTTTTTAACCATTTGCAGATAGTATTTATTACAAAGATTGAAGAAATCTTAACTTTTTACTTTACAAAGATACATACATCAATTAACAATTACGGAGTACTCCCTCCGTCGCCCATAGATCTTCCCATTAGCCCTTTTTATTTGTCCCACATAGATCTTCTCATTAGCTTTTTTAACATTTAAAATACCACAACTATCCACACTTACTTTATTTATTACACCTTTTTCACCTTATTTAATACACCCCACCCATTTTCATTAAGGGTATTTTGGTAAACTTTTACTTTTTTTTCAACTCTCCTTAAAAACCACAAAAAGTCAAAACGAGAAGATCTTAGAGGGACGGAGAGAGTATAAAACAGTACCAATCGTCTTCCATGTAGCTTTATTTCATTGAATAGATTTTCAAATCTTTCTTTTCTTAAAAGAAATTCTTACATGGTTTCTTACATGGCCTTGTGTAGTATAAACAAACCATAACTCCAATACAAACAACAAAAGAAGCACCCCAACATCCCAAACTGAGGAGGTATTATTTTTGCATTAATCAAATTGCATTCTTGGATTCTTTTGTTTCTTGAAGCCCCTGTCCACTGCAACCATAGTTTACAAATGTCGTCTCTTTTCAAAATTTTAGTCAAGAGTCATAGTCAATATTGTTGTGTTGTCTATCAAGTCGGCATCAAAATATGTCATTAGAAATGTGAAATTACACTTTTATTTAACAACATAACAGAAAATCAAAAAAAGATTGTCCATTTAGAGGTGCTCTTAAAAGAATCACGAATGTAATATTTGATAATAAATAATTAAATATGAGAAAACTCTGGTTATAAAAGACAAATTATAAAATTTATTCTTTTGAATACAACAATAAGATCAACATCTTATGAACCAAAAATTCAAAGTTCACGTAAAGCAATTTAGAATTCAAATCTAGATTTCGTTCAGACTTCACATTACATATTAGAAATCTAAAACTTTCTCCATCACCAACAAGAAAAACTATTACTCCATCTATCATATTTTATAATCATGTTTTGGTTTACGCTACCGGATTGATATTATTTTCAATTTAATGTATTTAATAATTAGAATAAGATGGAAAAATTACATTACTTATTTGAAAACTGTATAAAAATCTACAAAAAAAAAGATAACATGATTATTTTTTAATCAAATAAATAGCAAAAATAGATAAAATAAGCGAATGAAATTTTAACTCTATGAATAGTAAAAGACATTACAAAATGGGACAGAGAGAGAAAAAAGACTATAATCTCACGCTTGTAGAGAAAAAATATCAATCCAATATTATTTCAAACCGGATTGACATAGCATCAAATTGAAAAATGAGTTTTCAAACTGCTTCAATAAATTATATACCTCGAACCAAATCACCTCGTTTCTAAAAATGATACTGGACACTATGACAGGTTTTCAAAAAATAAAAATCAAATGGAAAATGTCTTGAACTCACTTTAGGTCTTGGTTTCGAGTTTCACCATATACAAAAAAATCCTCATATAATACATCTCAAAATATACTCAAAAGATATCATGAAATGAGCTTGCTATAATACATCATATTTTTTATTGGGATTAATTTCACCCAAAATATGCTGTCAATATGAAAACCAGACAGTCATGGACGAAGCGAAAACATTTCGATTCCTCACAATTTTTTGTCTCTTCCTAAGCCTACTCGAACTTATGTACTCCCAACCCTATATATTACACGAGTCATGCTAAGATGACCCGAAATGGTGCCCAAATTTTACCCTTCATTTTTATTTCAGAGACACGGTTTCACAAACATAATTATATCTGTGAATGTATGTGAGACTCTATGAGAGAAGAATCGGGACACGGTAAATATTGGCACCATTTTGGGACACACTTAGATTTTCCATATGACATATCACTAGTTCAATATCGGAGGAGTATGAGTGACCTCGGTCAGCTTTCCTGACATTCACTGTGACTGCTTAGATAGATTTCTTTAAGGTGAATGTGTTTTGCGCATTGAAAAATTGCTTCAGATACTAAATTTCTTAATGTGCAAAACACATTTTATTTTAAAGAAATCTATGTAACCAAACATAGTGATCATGAGAAAGGGTAGACTGGTGTTATGGACAAGCAAATCCTAACCGGTGGGTATCCCTCAAAAATCAGAGCCATCTGTTCTACAAGAAGCATTAGGATCCTCCCGCTGGCCCACATTCGATCTTTGAACCAGTCGAACAAGTGCTTCCACCACTTCAGATACTGGTGGTCGAAATTCTGGTTCAGGCTGTAGTAGTCCAATTGTATCAAACAGAATAAAATATTACCCCGAGTAAAACTTTTATTAGGAAACAAAGGGA